TTATATTTTAGTTATAAAATTGTAATTTTTAATCATAATCTAATTGAAAACATATTTCTTATGACTCTCTCCTTATAAAGAATTTATTTTTTAATTGATGTCAAAATTTTAAATTGTTTCAAAATTTTAATTTAAATTTCTTAAATTAATGCCAATATAATGCAATTTTGAAAACTTGAAAATACTTTATTTATGTATATATAATTTTTTCAAATGCTCCACTTAATTGATTTTACACCCTCTCCCTCTGACACACAACTTATAGATAAATATATAAACTAAAAGGAATGATAAGGAAACCATTCAAAGTAACAGCTAATACTTATGCAGAAATACTTTGTTTGGATTTAACCATAAATATCATGTAATCATGTATCATATTATAATAGTTGTAGATAGATGTAAGTGTGAAACAATTTTTATTAAATTTTTTAATTACTGAATTTTAATATTATCATCTGTTAATACATGATTATCTAATTATTATCAATAACATTAGAAACTAAATGTTTTATAAATGCATTAAAAAAAAATTTATAAATGCCAATCATAAAAAATAATTTTTTAATTGCTTAAACAGTCAACTAAAAACGTTTGAATTTAAGGAACAATCATATTTGACAGACAATTATAACTGCTATTAATTTTTGCATAATAAAATACCTATGAATTTAGTCATAAATTGTGAGATTATATTAATAATACAAAATAACTCCAAAATTGCTCTTTTTTAAAACTTCAAATATTATTTTGAGAGGCGATTTAGAAATAATTTTCTAACCATCGTTACATGACAGTGCTGCACTTCTAACTTGTTGTTTTAAACAAAATTAAAAAAACAAGACATAATTAATTTGTTATAAATATACTTAAAGTTTCTGAAAATCCGGTATTTTCATATCTGCCAGATTTGATTTTTGGATTTTTGAAAACCGCTAGATACCAGGTAATCCATCAATAAAATTTTTAATATGATATAAACAGGCTATAATGTTTTAATTTCATTTTTATAAATCTGTATTAAATTTTAATGAAAACAATTTTTACAATGCAAGCCCATTAAACAAATTATTAGATAACGATGATCTGATTTTGGTGCAGAAATTAGCTGATATTAAAAATACTTGCTCAGAATTGTTAGGTTTGTCTTGATTGAATAAATAGCACAAATAGTTTTTCCTAATTTTTGGTTCATTTTCCAGTATTTTCTCAAGAACGCTCAACCGTATCAGTTAACAAGTTCCATCTGGTTTTTTTTCATCTAGTTTGAGCTCTAAAGAATGTCCTTCTCTTCACCCAAGTTTGATTTTGTCTTGCAAAATATTTTTTCTAACTTTTTCTAAAACAACAGACAATTTTACGTCACCATAACCTTCAATATTTTAATTTATAAACATTATTGTTAATCTTCAATATTTTTTATTAATAAACATTATTGTTTTTTTTTATAATAAGTATCATGGTTGAGACATAACTTGTAAATTGATGGGCTCTCTCTACCATTCTTAATCATTATAGAACCATTGTCCAAAGTTGATGCAACAGTATGTTTCTCAAAAGAAATGTTAAATTTTTCTAAACAAGTTTTAACTAGATTAAGTCAAATGCAGAACAAGATCTAAAAATTCTCACTAATACAAGATTACAGGGTTCTTTTACTTTAACAGTAACAACAACAACGACAAGATATTTATTTTCCTTTTCAAAATTTACATACAATCATATAATGACAATAATAATAATAATAATATTATCTATAACAATACAAAGAATATAATTATAATTAAATATAACTAATAAGAATAAATATAAATAAGTTTTTGAAAAGGAAGGTCACTCAAACAGAAGCCTGATCAAAGGAATGACACCAAATAATTATAACAATAATAATTAAAAATAATATTATCTATAATAATACAAGTAATATGATGACTGAGTGTCACTCATGATCAAAATGAGTGACACCAATTAATTATAACAATTAGTATAATAATAAAAATAACAAATATGAACTGAAAATCACTTAGAAAATAAAATAATAAAAACAACGATAAAGCTAAAATAAATTAAATAAACAAAAAATATGAAAACACTTAATAACAACAGCAAACAAAAATAAAAATAATTAGTAAAACAGAACAAATAAAAAACAAACCTTACATAAAGGAAAAGGCAAAACACTAAAACAACAAGATGAAACACAAAAACTACAAAACGAAAAGGCAAACACAAATACTTCTACAAAAAAAATTAAATTAAAAAATAAGGATAAGCTTTCGTTATTTTTGCAAAATAAAAAAAAAAGGTGTAGAAAATTTGGTAAAATAGAAAAACAGAAAACAACAATAAAAATAATTAGCATAAATAATAACAAACTTTACGCAAACGAAAAGAGAAACACAAAAACTACAAAAATGAAATGCATACACAAAATGATAATATTTAACAAATATAATATTTTATAAAAATAATTAATGGTAATATTATAATATTAATTAATTAATATAATAATAAAAAATAATAATATAACAAATATCACATATTTGCCACAAAAAAAAAAAAGTTGCGATTTTTTACGTTTTAATTAGTTCTTTTAATTATTATTTCGAATATTTTTTGAACTTTTTTTTTTAAATTGGTACTTTGCTGTTAATTGGTTTTTTTTGTTTTGTTTTTGTTTGATTAAATCTGTTTGTTCTTTTTTTTTTTTATTCATTTTCTTGTTTTATTTTGTCTTCAATCTTTTAGTTCGTTTATACTCTTTAATTATTTTCTTTTTTTACTAATTAACATCTTAATAACTTTTTACTATTTCTAACTAATCTTTTTTATTATTTAAAAATTTCCTTCACTTTTCCTTTACTTGTTTTTTCCTTTTCACCGTTAATTAAATCCTTTTCACTGTTAGTTAAAAGCATCATGTAAATTAATATTAAAATAGCATTTCATCTAAATACTTGTCCGCTCATCTAGTTTAATACTGAGTTTCCTATCACTCTTTTGCTTCTCAATTAATATTGTAATTGTTGAGCCTTTTTTTCTTCGTCACTTTTATGAACAAGTCCTATGACATCAGATTCTTTTTTTTGGCAGATGTTTGGTACATTTGACTATTGACAATTATGAGATCTCATAATTGCTCTTTTTGAAATTCCATTGATAACAGCTACTTTAGCCACAATTTCTTGTTGGCTACATTGTGTCCTAAAATCAAACATTGTTTTTTGTTTTTTCATCACTGGCTCACCAATATTACCATCTTTATGGCTTGATTTACTTAGCTCAATTTCATGAATCATTTTTATGTGGTCTAGCATTGCACCAGTAGATCCATTGCTGTTCAAATTCTTTGTTTTGCATACTTTACATTCTGCTTTTTCATTTAAAATTTGCTTGAAATGCTCCCATATTTTTGATGTTTTTTTAGAACTCATCTAGGCGGGTTAAAATAAGAGGCTTTAATTTTAAAAGGATAAATTAAAACTAACTGAAAGAATTATTTATTTTTATGTTTTGTCAATAAAAATAAATTTTTAAGGTTTATTTAAACTAACTATTGAACAATTGTAATAATAATAATTGTAAAATACCAATTCAAAAAATTATTGATAAAATAAAACAAAATCTTCAACAATGCTTTTTACTAATATTTCATTGGCAAACAATTTATAAAAAAGTTTAACAAATAACTGTTATTGTTGTTAATTACAATAACAAAAACAACATAGTAGCACAAAATAGCCATAACAAAATTGTAAAAACTGGTTTTGTTATGTTAGACAGAAAACAAAACTATTTGCTTGAGGTGCACCTTCAACCAAGTTCAAACAGGTCCAAGATGTTGATAACCTTTATAGAAAATCCTTAAGTATTCCTTTATTAAGAATGTGGTTTTTAGAGATGTTTAAGAGGCCTTTATATTGAAAAAATCTACTTAAGGTTGCTGTAACAACATGGTTGTTGCATGATCAAGGATCTGACTTCATGTTTTGCTTTATTAATTTGATGCAGTCCTAAACAAAAGAGCCAGTCAAGAGGTGAATTTTTTGAGAGATACTTTCAGCAATGCAAACATTTTCAGCAATCGCCAGACTTAAACCTGTTCATGATCAACACAGCACAACACATTTCTGAAAGTAAGTCAAAATATAATTACTTTGTAGTTCTAAATCTACAGCTGGACACTGAAGCTTTTTGGTTTCCTGCTAATTAAAATTAAAGAGGGTCTTGGATTCCTTTTGGTAATTGAAGTTTTTAAATGCGGAGCATTAAGCTATTTCAAAAAGAAAATATGATTCTTCTTTAAACTTTTTTACCCTTATTTTAGTTGTTATGTTTTACTCTATTCACTTATTAACAGATTTGATATCAATATAGTTTTTGTAATATCTCTCTTCTTGTGATTCTCATGAATATCTTATGATGATGCATGAATCATATCAAGAACAGGTTTTTTTAAAAATGCAGGAATGGAAACATCAGAATACAGCATAATCAAAATAATTAGAATTAATCAGCATATTCAACTTTACGCATACTTGCTCTGCAATGGAGGGTTACCAGTTGTTTCAGATCCCAGATGCCACCTTTCGTAAATTCAGAATTTAATGACATCCTCTCTTTTGTTGGATGCGTCCTGGGAAAATCTGTTGGTGATCCAAAGATCAAGCAATCTAATACTCCTTGTTTTGAAAACTCTAAAGATTTTGCCATGTATTTTTTCTTACTGCTAGATCAGTTCACGACCTGTAACAAAAAAAGATTGATATTTAATAATCATTTATTAATAATAATGATAATCTGCTGGAAAATCTGCTGCAAAACTAATTTGTAATACCTTATATGCTCAAAAGTCAAAATAGCTTCTTCGATTTATCATAAGAAATACAAATGATAATAATATATGTAAATATTATACCTTAATGTTTACATATATTATGTTTTAAATATTTATATTAGTATGTTTTTGTTTTTATAATAATTTTTGTGTTTGTTATTAGTTAATGGAATTACTGCTCCAATTTATTCAGAAGATTGCAAAGATGAAAACCATAATGAGCCTTTAAAAGGTACTTTTTCATTTTTTTCTATAGAACTGTTGTGTTTTTTTTTGTTTTGTTTTTTGTATATTTTTAAATGTTATTTTAAATTTTTCCAGTTTGTAGATGATAATAAGTTTTTAATTTCTACAAAATAATAGATTAAAAAAAAAAGTTTTTGAGAAAAGTCATGAATCAAAAAAAAAAAAAAAAGAATCAAAACAAAGTTTGTGCACTAAGATTAGAGTTTTTAAAATTAAATAAATCATAGACTCCACTTTCCTATATCTACTTAAGTCAGTCAATGTAACTAACTACACTCTAACTACGGCTATCAGTCAACTTAAGTCATCGATGCACTTATCCTGTAAAACTTTGAAAAATATAAACAAATTATTATTAAACAACAATAGTAAAAATAAAAACATAAAGCAATAATAAAAGATTTCTTCAATATAAAAGATCAAAATAAAATTAAAAATAAAATTATCTATGTCAAAATATAAATATTATAAATTAAAAAAATTTAAATTTTTTTGATTTAAATAGTTTTACTGATTTTCAAATTACTGCAAACCCAAATCTATAAAATTCTTCTTTTTCCAGTGTGTTCATTGAAAGTTTGATAAAGTTTAACATTTTGTAATGTTCGAGCTTACAAAACATTGTAAGATGCTGTATAAAATAGTAAATTTCTTTTTTCTGATCAGAGTTGATTAAAAAATTTCTGTGAGTTAAGCGGCATAATGATTTGAGAATTTTTTTAAAAGTTGTAGGTCTGTTTAAATTTGAGATCTTTGGTAATAGAGAGATAGCAGTGTAAAGCTTATAACACAAAAAAATAATACCATACTACTATTACTTCATATATATTACTATTACTTCAATAATACCATACTACTATTACTTCATACATATTACTTCAGCTATTAAACATGGACGTAATTCTGCAATAGTTATGGGTAGCTTTCTCATTCAACAGTTGTTTTTTTTTTTTTTTGATTGAATAAGAAAGATAGAAGTTTTGACATAAAGGGGTACCAAAAGTCTTTTTCAGCAAGCAGTTCCTACAAGGAAAAAGCTTATTGCTCCAGGATTCGGAATGCTGCAAAACAAGAAATGCAAACATTTATCTAAATTATGCTAAGCTCTTAGTAAAAGCAATTAGTAAATAAAAAGAAAGTACATTGAGTAGCATCCCTGATTAAACTTTTTTTTTTTTGGCAAACTTGATTATCAAGAAACAGCTTTAAAAAAAAAAAACATGTTGACAAAAACTAGACTAACAACTAGAACCATAGTTTCTTGAAAATATATTTTGTACCGAAAAAATCTTTTTTTTTGATCAAATTGAGTAAAAACATCGATGGTGGATGGTCGATGGTTGATGGTATGACTTTATATTTTATTTTAGAAATAAAGCAATAATATCAAAAAAGGTCCCAGTCATTGAAATAGCAGTGGTATTTAAAAATAAAAAATAACTTTTTTTGTGTTAATATATAAAAGATAAAAAATAAGTATAATAGAATTTAACTTTAGTATTTCATTACAAAAACTTTGTTTTGGATAACAGCTTCAACACCTATGCATTGAGTTATCTGTAATTTTGATGTTGATGTTGAAATCTTTCTGCAGATATTATACAAAAGAAGAATAATAATCAAAATATAATTTTAATTGCAAATGATTCGTCACAATGTATTTCATAGAAACAACATATAAATATAAAATATAAGTAATATTTTAATTCATGCGAACAGCTGTAGATATTATTGATACAGCAGTGTCTAAAATATTTGCAGACAAGTTAAAAAAAAGTTGAATTTTACTGCAAATACTTCACTAAAGATTTTCATGTTTACTATTATGTTTTCAACAAATATTGATTATTTAATTAACATTTTTTATTGACTTGAAGAGATCCCCAACTGCTGAGACAAGTTGTGTTCATATTAAAGAAAATGTTTAAAAAAAACATTTGGGCTAAATTTTTTTGATTAAAACTTTATAATGAATGCACACCATTAAATTTAAAATTCACGTTTTAGTCGAAGCTCGTCCTCTCCATTTTTTTTGGTTCTCAGAGTCTGTATAATGTTAGCTGCAATCTGCAGACTTGGTAATTTATTCCATGTGTGTTAATTCATAACAGTTTCGGTATATGATGTCATCGTATAAATTTTTTCTTTCAAAATGTCATATTATTTTTTTGCCAAAATCACCAAATCATGTTAATTGTATAACTTTTTACTAAATCCGAAAAAAAGTTTATGATACAATTAAAAAATAAAATTTATTAAAATAAAAAAACCGTTCAATAAAATAACAGTTCAAATCAAACTAAATTAAAGTTAAAACAAATATTTGTACTAAAATATACAAGAAATAGTTATAATATAAATATAAAAACAAAGAATTGCATTAAATTGTTTGCTACCAGCCGAACAAAAATCTTTTAACAAAAATCTTTTTGTAGCAACCACACATTTTATTTTTGAATAACGTTTGAGTTGCATAACATTGACAATTAATTAAAATTCGATAATAATAAAGTTTTTAACACGTTTCATTAAACAATAAGAAATGCAAAATGATTAAAACTATCGTTTTTGTAAGTAATAACTAAAACATTAAGTCCAAAACAAACCTCATTAAATGAATAAAAATAATATTTTTACTTCAAAATACTTTGGTAATTACTTAAATAAATACTTAATACCTCTACAAGTTGATTTTACAGTGTTAATGCTGTTTTATTTTATAGCAAAATTTAAAGTTTTTTTTATGAAGGATTATTCAAAATTTTTTAACTTTGTGATATTTTTTTTTATAATTACACAATTATAGCTCTTATTTTTTCTTGATTACGTAGAGAATTAATTAAACCTTCAGAACAAACAAATTCTATGTGTCTAGAATAGAAATTTATGTACTGAACAAGATAAATTGTAAAGCATACTCGAAAGCCGCAACTAGTGGCTTGCGGTAGTGAAAGAGTTAAACCATATTTAAATATAAATTAAACATAAAATGAATAACTCTATTGAACCATATAAACTTAATATAAAACAAAAAACCGCATCATACTGCCTTTATTTTTTCTCTGCCTGCAAACTCTAATAATCACAAAATATGTATAACTGTGTCATGATTTTGGCTGTCTTCTACAACATAAAACAATAATAAAACAAGTAAAAAAAAAGTTATAAATATAAAAGTATATATATATACTAGTATAATTTTTTACAAAATCAAAATATTTTTTGTGATTTAGTAAAAAGTTATACAAATATTTGATTTTCTGATTGTACTAGAAAAAATACTTATATCTTTAAAAAAACAACAACAAAAAAACGCTATCTTAAAAAGATATTGCGATGACGTTATATACCAAAACTGTTATGAATTAACACGCATTGAATATCAAGTCTGCAGATTGTGGCTAACATTATACAGACCCTGAGAACCAAAAAAAATGGAGAAGGCGAGCTTCGACTAAAACGCTAATTTAAATTTTGTTGGTATGCATTCATTATTTAGTTTCAATCAAAAAAATTTAGCCCAAATATTTTTTTTAAACATTTCCTTTAATATGAACACAACTTGTCTTGGCAGTTAAGGATCTCTTTAAAAAATAACAATTTTAGATGGGTTCTAAAATTTGCAGACAAAATAAAGCTTTGTACATTTTCCCTCAAAATCGTTAATTTGTCATATTGTAAAGAAATACTAGGTGAAAATTGTTTTATAAAACCTTATTTATTATTGATTGAGATCATGGGATCCAAGAAATTTCATCTCTAGTGAAAAAGTTGATCTTAAGATCAGTTCAAAATGGAAATTGATTTTGTAAGGCAGCACAGTTTTATAGAGTCAGTAAGTCTGCTGTTGGACAAGTTATGTAGAGATAAGAACTTACTGTATCTACAAAAAATCAAAAGCAATCAACAGGGTGTTAGCCAACCTGATGGCAAGGCGTATAACCCGGTATTCCCAATTGGTTTAAAATTCCTAAAGGTTCATAAGATCATAGTAAAAAAAAAAAGTTAAATCAGTCACAAATTTAGTGTCGCGCTAGGCAAGTAAAAAATGCAATTAGTATGCATGACGAAGAAATTAATTATGTTTATCAATTTTTTTAATGTTTAAAAACGTGTTGTCATTATCAAGCGTCATTAACATTAACAAAATCATTCATTCAAAAGTTGATAAAAAATTTTATTTTTTATTTTTATTGACGTCAGTTAGTCACTAGTTAAGATTTTCAATATGTTTAATAAATTTTATTAATTTATTTTTATTATTCAAAAACTCTTTATTTACATTTTTTCTGTTTATCTTAAGTTACGAAGAAATTTGCATATTAATAAATATTATACTTTAAAATAAGTTAATAAATTTATAATAGATTATTATAAAGATTTATTAATATTTTCAGTAAAGTAAATTAGCTGGTATAGTAAATAACAACAAAAAAATCAAAAATAAAACTTGCAATGAAATGTAATATTTGCGTAAAACATAAAAGAAGATAGTTAAATAATAATAAAGTGTTATTAATTATTAACCATTATTTATAAATACAAAAATTAATTTTTTTTAACTTACAAATACAAAATATGCATAGATATTTAATGTATATTTGTAAATTAATAAAAAATTAAAAAAATAGTTTTTGTATTTAAATACATTTTTTTAATTTAAATACCTAATTTACTAGATATTTAAATATGCCGATTAAATTTAGTTGCTGTCCTCGTGCGGTGAAACAATCTTGCTCTGCTTCTTAAATGTCTTAGTTACTTATTTAAATTAAAGTAGCATATTGCAATAAAAGTTTTTTTAACAAACATTATATTTGATGGAAATAGGCGAGCCAACCAAGTTTTTCAAATAAAAGTTATTAAGATTTCAAAAACTTTCATTTAACTTTCATTTATATAAGTTTTTTAACTTTTAAATTTATCTAATGATAAAAATTATAGTATAAAATATGATGAACAATAATACCTTAATTTAAACTTTTTTACATACTTAATATAATAAAATAATAATTTAAACTTTTTTACATATTTAATATAATATGTAAAAAAGTTTAAATTTTTTTAAAGTTATTTAAAATTTTTAGTTTTAAATAAAAATACTAAAGTATTTAAATACTTAAATATTCAAAATCTTTCCAAATAATTAGGGTTGCCCAAAGTTTAAAAAAGCGCCTCCTAAATTCAATAAACGTGCACTTTTGCAAGGTTTTTTAAACCTTGACTATAGCCAAGGTTTTAAAAAAAAATTCTGCTAAGAATATAACCCAGCACCCAGCAAAAATAGAAAATTATTTTGATTGTATCTAAAAAATGTCAAATTTAATTGTATCTAAAAGTGTCAAATTTATCTACTTTTTTAAATGTCAGAATGTAAATTACACTCTGACATTTGAAAAAGTACATTGTACAAAGTACATCGTACTTTGTACAATGTATTACATCGTAAAAAAGTACCTGCACCTTAATAAATTTTTTTTTTTTTTTGCTGCACCTTAATACCTAATTTCGCGAAACCACTGTATAATTTTTTTTTCTGGCTAACACCCTGATCATGAAGGTCACAAAACACCCTGATCATGAAGGTCACAAAACACCCTGATCATGAAGGTCACAAAAAACATTTTTAGGAAAAAATCTTCTGATGGCAATAAAAAACTTTGTTTGACATCTGTCAATATAAATGTAGATATGAGATGTTTCTATAGAATGATTTGTTTCTACTACAAAGCAACAATTATGTTATGCTAATTCATTTGTAAAATGCCTTAAAAAGCCTAAACACCAGAAAAAAGTTTGCATCATTGCATCTAAAGTGGAGTTGTTAACAATGTTCAAAGATTCTAATTAGTGATGAAAGCAAGTTTACGCTGTTTAGATCAGATGGAATCAGTTATTTTCAGCGTCTAGTAGGTATAAGATATGATCCTAAATATATTCTATATGCATAAAACATGGAGATGGTAATGTAATGGTTTAGAGATGTTTTAGTCAGGATGGTATTAGTCCACTCCATAGATTTACTGGGACTATGGGTCAAGAAATTGGCAAAGATATATGTAAGAACACTATGTTACTTCATGCAAAAGATAAAATGCATCAAAGATGGATATATCAGCAGAATAACAATCCTAAACATACAGTTAAGTTGGTTTAAGAGTTTTTGAAAAAGAGTAAAGTGAATATTTTGAATTGGGCATCTCAATCGCCTGACTGTGAATTTGAAATCCCATTAAACATTTATGGGAACATTTTGATCATCAAATGAAAGGTATTAAGTCTACAAATCATGCTGTTTTTTAGTAAAATTAAGAAAATACGGGATTCCATCTGTTTCTATTAATGTATGCATTAATTTTGTTGATGGTATGCTTCATAGATGCCAAGCTGTTCTTGATTGTAAATGATATCCTACAAAATACAAATGTAGTTTTTCTATATATATAAATTTCTTATTTTCTATTTTTGATCAAATGTCGTTGAAAAATCTTTTTTTTTAAAACATACGTGGTGTCTGCAAATTTTTAAACTTATTAAAAATTGTGATTTTGTAAACCAATTAAAAACAACAAAAAAAAACAACTAAATATATACTTGTTCAAAACATAATTGTAACCCTGAAAACCTTTTAATTCATATATGATATTTTATTATGTTGGCTTTTATGAAGAATGTGCTGGAATATTAATAAAGTTTAATTTTTTTTAACCTAGCCACAAATTTTTGTTTTCTACTGTTCATTTATTATAATTCATTTCAAATAGATGTTGCATCCACTTATGTTGATTCCGGACAATATTACAAGTTGTCTTCTTCTACCCACGCAAATAATTATCAATGGTATAAAAATGGTTATCCTATTCCTGGAGAATGTAAAAAAAGTCTAATTTTTGAACCATTTCATGCTGGAGATGAAGGACATTATTCATGTAAAACAAATAGTAATGGTCATGTGGAATTTTCAGACAAAGAAAACTTACATTTAGGAAGTAAAAAGTTTTTTAATAAAAGTTTTAATTCATTTCTATTATTGTTTTATATAAATGAGTATAATTTTTATATATTTATATGCATTTTATAGGGTAAAGTATATCAGTGAATAAATATATACTGCAATGGAAGCCTAATATTTCAATAGCCATACCTCACAGAATATTTCAATATCTCACATAATATTTCAATACCTCACAGAATATTTCACATACCTCACAGAATATTTCACATACCTCACAGAATATTTCAATACCTCACAGAATATTTCACATACCTCACAGAATATTTCACATACCTCACAGAATATTTCACATACCTCACAGAATATTTCACATTCCTCACAGAATATTTCACATACCTTACAGAATATTTCAATACCTCACAGAGTATTTCACATACCTCACAGAATATTTCAATATCTCACAGAATATTTCACATACCTCACATAATATTTCAATATCTCGCAGAATATTTCACATACCTCACAGAATATTTCAATACCTTACAGAATATTTTACATACCTCACATAATATTTCAATACCTCACAGTATATTTTACATACCTCACAGAATATTTCAATACCTCACAGAATATTTCACATACCTCGCAGAATATTTCAATACCTCACAGAATATTTCACATACCTCACAGAATATTTCACATACCTCACAGAATATTAGTGGCATTAACAAAGATAATCAAAATTTATTATTTATTAATATAAATATTATTATTATCAAAATTTTATAGCCCATTTATAATACAGTATATGTAATTTAATTTTTAATATAAAATTTTATAATAAGCAGTAAAACATACAACAAAAAAATAAAACAGTGTTTGTTTATTAATTTTTTTTTTTTAAATGAAGTCAAATTCTTAGTATATTTAATATATATATTAAAGTTTTTGTTTTTTTTTTTTTGTTTTTTTTATATTTGCAAAAATAGTGTGGCTATAAGTTATTTTAACAATCAAAAAACCATGTGCTTGTGTATAGGTGGCTTTAAGTTCAAGGTAAAGTGCTTAATGCTTCCAAATTATCTTGGTTAAGTTCTTATCTCTGTTAAGTTCTTCATTCACTTTAATAGCAAAATTGTTTTATGTTTCAAACACAATATTTGGTTTTTTTGCTTTGTAATTTTTCTATTGCTTCATTGTTTAATGAGATAGATATGCATTTAAAATGGAGTCAACAATAGTCAGATTCTGATTTTAAATTTTTTAAATTCATGTCATTTTGATTTTTTGTTGTGATGCTTATCTTTTGATAAGATCAACAAATAATTAATCCAATGTCAATTAACAAATTAAACAAGAAAACACGTAAGACAATACAAAAAATTGAAAAAAAAAACTTAGATCATTTCCATAACACCACTCATTTGTAATGTTATATTAAAAAACTATATTAAATGTTATTTAAAAAAACTATATTATATGTTATATTAAAAGGATAAGAAATGATTGTATTAAAATCTTTATGGGAAACTTTTCTTTTAAATGCTAAAAGTGTCATTTTTATGATGTATGATGGGATTTGTGTGATGTGTGATGGGATTTGTATGATGTATGATGGAATTTGTGTGATGTCTGATATGGTTTGTGTGATGTATGATGGGATTGTAAAAAATTTTGACACCACTATGGGATTATCAAAACAATGACATCACTCCAAAGTCAACAAGCTAAATTGATATAACTATTTACGAGCATATTCTGCCACTTAAATAACAGAAACACTGACACTGGTCTTATCACTTAAACAACAGAGACATTGACACTGGTTTTATCAAAGTTGCAAATATTAAATATGGAAAACTTGTTTTTTTTTATAAAATCTATCTGGTGATTGGTTAGCTTTTCTGATTCTTTACTTTCAAGTAAAAAAATTTAACATTTTTTTTTTGCCTGTAAAAGTTGCAATTCAACATTTATTATTATTAATGTATTGTTTATTAATTTGTTAATAAATATTATTGGTTGTTTGTTGGTCAACTTGCATATTTCATTTTCCCCAAATGTAAGAGAAGAATGAAATTTTTTATTTTAGATAAAATTAAGTTTTATAAAAAAACTAAAAATATTTTTTATTTGTATATAAATACAGCTCAAAATTCTTTTCAATTTTAAGAAAAAAATATTTTTTAATCTTTTACCTCTTTATTATTACAAATGTATTTTAATAATAAATAGATTTGTGCATTTGTTATACTTTTTCATAATTCTTTTATTATTGAATTTTAGTTGGCTCTTTGAGTTTCAAAAACAAACAGTTTGGTATTTATTTTTTAATTTTTTCAATGTATTATTAACATTATTTGAATAAATTACTTGAAGTTATTGGATATACTTCTAATTAACATTTACTGTTTTTATTTTAAGCTACAGCAAAACTTGCACTCGTGATTGCCAATCAAAACTATATGAGTCCAAGAAACAAAAGTGAACAACTTGTTCATCCGATTAATGATGCAAAACTTCTTACTGAGAAGTTAACAAGCATTGGGTTCAAAGTAACCTGCTTAGTTGACCTTATAAAAAAGGAAATGGAGTATGCAGTGGATGGTTTTTGTAAGCTTTTAGATTGTGCCCATGGAATGTACTCACTGTTTTATTTCTCTGGACATGGTTTCGAAGTAAATGGAAAGACATACTTGGTTCCTGTTGATGCATCTGCATCATGGACAACTGACTCAGCCATGTCTGCAGAAAATATACTTTCAAGGATCCAATTATGTAAAAAAACAAAACTTGATGTCTTGTTACTTGATGTTTGCAGAGTATCGTATGATTTTTTTTTTAAATAATTATTAAAGAACTTATTTTTAGTATAATAAATATGAAAAATGATTTTAAATATTTTTTAAACCCATTTACTGGTTTTAAATTAAGTTTATGTTTTATCAGGTTTTCAAATGACAGTTTGAAACAATGTGCACAACATAAAATCTATTATGTTAATTATTTATATAAAAATTATAAGTGATAGTTAGATTGTTTTAAAATTTTTAATTCTATACTTCTTTTTTCTCTCTTTTATATATATATATATATATATATATATATATATATATATATATATATATATATATATATATATATATATATATATATATATATATTTATGTTAAACAACTTTCTACTATGTTGTAAAATTTTAACTTTTCTATGTTATGTCAAGACAAAATGAAATTGAAAATCCTGAATATTGTAGAAATATTTAAATAATTGGGTGATGTTAATATTTTTGATTTTAGATTTTAGAGTCCATTCTATTTGAAAAAAATGTATTACTAAGTTTTATTAAAAATTTAATGTATTACTAAGTTTTATTAAAAATTTAATGTATTATTAGGTTTTTTTAAAAATTCAATGTATTATTATCTTGTATTAAAGTTTAATGTATTATTAATTATTATTAAAAATTTAATGTATTATTAAGTTTTATTAAAAGGTATACAAAAAGCTTATGAATTAATATCAGTTATTGTCTTTTTCAAATAAAATATCTAAAAGATTATTTACAAAATAGAATGACCAATAATTTGAAGAAATTTTTTATTATTAATTCATCTATTAGCGTTTTTTATTTATTTATATATTTTTGCGCTAAAAATTGTTTTTATAATTGATCCCCTAAATCACAGATCTATGAAATAATATATTAATTTTTCTAGAAAATAATTCATATTGAATATTAGTTATTTTATCATACAGTCATTTAAAAAAAACTATTAGCTAAAATAGCTTAATGCATAATTTTCTGATTTTTGTTTAAAAAGATTTACAGGTTGTGTCACTAATGATATATATAATGATGCTAAAATAGTAATAGGTTTCATCATAGGTTCAATTCTTAATTATCTAATCCACATTTTTGTCTAAATTTTTGGTGAAATAATTTTCTTCTCTTTTTTATTATTTTTACTTTCAAAAAACTAAAAAAGTAATATATATTATAGGTCATTAGTCATTCAGTGTCTTTCATAAAACTTTTGTTTTTTCTTTAGAACAAATATTAAAGAAGATTTGTCAAGTTTCGCGCCATTTGTACCAGGTGCTCAGAGTGTAATTGGATATTCCACGTATGGTTTTTATTAATTTAACTTTGTTATGTTTGAAAATAAATTTACTGGTTGAAAATTATATATAAAAATTATATATAAAAATTATATATATATATATATATATATATATATATATATATATATATATATATATATATATATATATATATATATATATATATATATATATATATATATATATATATATATATATATATATATATGCAAAAGAGAATTTTCTGGTAAAAAAAATTTTTTTCATTTTCCTACATTGACATTTTAATGTCAACAAAATGTCAAAAAATTTAATTGAGGGAGTACATCAAGTTTATTTAATTTAATTATTTTTGCAATTTAAAAAAAAATTGCATATATGTGTATATATATATATATATATATATATATATATATATATATATATATATATATATATATATATATATATACATACATGAGATATGTTATCAAAATAACTGTTATTTAAAAAGAGTAATTTTTGTATATTATACAAGCAAATATAAAAACTAAGGATGCTGTGTTGTTATTATTTATAATAGAAGTTTATAGTTATTATTTATATATTTTCTTTTTTACACTCTGCAAAATTTCAAATTTTTGTCTTGACATGTGCAATTAGTGCTTTGAAACTACTATTTCTAACATTCTCAATGATGCCACTTTCTTAGCAGCACCTTTTTTTTCAATAATCTTTAATGAATTCTTCTAATTTGTAGTTCTCTACAAATTATGCCAAATATATTTTTCCATTTAATTATGTCTTTGGCATTGTGACATGAGATCAAAAATAATGAAGAAATACTGTGAGCCTTGTATAATGATAATAAGCGCTATTAAGACATTTTTTAATAAAAAAATTTTGTTAATGGTGCCATTTTTGAATGAATCGTTTTATGTATAAGCTAAACAAACAGATGGCTAGCTATACCATTTATTATTGGGAATTTGTCAAGGCATTTATACTTGAATTTGTTTGGCACTAATCTTCCCATCTTCCAAAAATGTGTGGTAATTTTAGTTTTTATATTTGTTTTATTATCTGTTAAAATGTATTATTTAAATCTATTTAAAATAATCATTTACTTTCAAGCTTTTATTATTTTCCTTTTATCTGATTGGTTGAGCTTTGAATCTGTATAGTTATGTTCTTTCTTGATTTATTTTACCAGAAATGTAAAAATATTGTATTTTTAACCAGATGTATTTCTCTTAAAAACTTTTTTTGCATAAAATGTGACTATTTAACACATCAGTACGCTGCAGATAAAATCATATTGGTAAAAATAGAAATAATAAGGAATTATAATTATGAAATTATCTTTACATTGTTGGAACATTGTATAAATTTTGTCTTTATTAATTTTAAAGCAGTGCATAAGTTTTTAAAATCTGGTTACAACATGCTAGTCATGTAGTCATCTATCATAAATCTGGTTATAGCTTGCTAGTCATGTAGTTATCTATCGTAAATCTCCAAATCACAGGCTCACTAGTCATGACAATTCTGTAAATGTTGGCTGTTGTTTACATGAAAAAAAGTAATGCTGAAATTAGTTACCTAATTATTACTTGCATAAAGTTAACTGATATATTTTATAAGTTATATATAAATACATTTTTTTATAAAATATTTTGCATGCACTTATGAACCACAATTCACAAAGCTGTTGGAGTTAAAATAAACAAAAGAAAGTTGTTGATTTCTGTAAGCTTCCATATACCTTTGTCAAAAAGTTTGTGGTTTGAATAAAACATAAGAAAGTTGTGGTAGATTTCTGTGAGCTTCCATATACCTCTGTCAAAAAGTTTGTGGTTTGAATAAAATGTAAGAAAGTTTTGGTAGATTTCTGTGAGCTTCCATATACCTTTGTCAAAAGGTTTGTGGTTTGAATAATCAAACAATAAATTATTAGTAACAAATAATTAAAAATATTTTTTAGGCTGAAACCTATAAATTAACATTGTTAATTTATAAGTTTTATATTGTGTGTTTAAATACAGTCTGACCATACTGAAATAGCCATCTACCAGGGGTAGTTGGCTATTTCAGTATGATATCATAATAGTGCTGCTACATCGACTAGGTGTTTCAGAAAAGGCAGCAGTATTTTTTTCCCAATATTTCTGCTTTTTTTCTTTTTTAAAAAAAAAATTCAATAAATACAGTGAAGATGAAATATATATATATATATATATATATATATATATATATATATATATATATATATATATATATATATATATATATATATATATATATATATATATATATATATATGTATATATGTATGTATAGCATAAGATTAATTTTAAAATTTTTTTTAAAATTATATATTTTTTTCTTTGCTTAAACTGTTTGGTTTTGTATTTAAAAATGTGGCAAGTTTAAAAAAACTCGAAAAAGCTTTATTGCTTAACAATGGATTTAAAACTACAAAATCGTTAGAATGTTGGTACTAAGAACAGTGCAATAAACCACTGAGCTACTGAAGAATATATGTCATGAAAAAAAACAAATCATTTTGTTACACTTTTTATACCAGTTGTAATAACTCAACAGTTACATTTTAAGGTTCAGTAATTTAAATCTGGGCAATTTTGATCTCTAGGCGTGACTATTATTTCACAGGTAGATAAGGTCATGGGTCATGGGTTGGAGTCTTTGACCTTTTCCTGATTCCTCTTTATTCTGGACACCTTAGTATTGTAGCTGAAAAAAATGTTTGGTTGTAAATATTTATCTTTATATGAGAGTGTAATTTAAAGTTGACTAAATAAGTGACTAAATAAGACTAAATAACAACTATATTGTTTTAAAGAGAATTTTTAGATACAATTTGTATATATATTTTTTCAATATACTTTTTTTTTCAATACATTTTTGTAGTAGAAAGTTAAATTAAAATATTTCAGCAATTTCTTTTAGCTCATGTATATTTAAAATTCTCATTTCAATAAAATAATGTTTTGCGTGATAAAAGCGATTAGCAAATCAGATTAAAAGGACTGCATGTTTCTGACAGCAATGAAGACATTGCAACTTACTTTTTTCTGTACAACCCCAGGCAGTATTAGCATATTTTAAATAACTGTGTATAAATGAATAATTAAGTTTGATTAAAATTTTCTTATTGAGGTAGATTCGTGCTCTATATAAAACTCCAATGTTTTTTGAAATTTCAGTGGTTATGTAATCGATATGATGATTTCAAGTGATGTTTTCATCGAGATAAACACCTAAAAATTTTGTTATTGAATCCCTTTTTATTTCAAACAATGATCAACTATATATAACTAAATAAGTGCAACTATATTGCATTGCAGAAAAGTTCATAAAAGAAATATCTAAAAATCTCAGTATATATCAATAACAAAATTAAAAAAAATACAATTATAATAACTTAAATAAATTACAATTATAAAGTTATAGTTTAGTTATGTTAAATAAAGTTATGTACAAACCTCTCTGTGGTTATTATGGTGTGTCAGTTATGTAACCTTTGTAATGTGAATGTCAGAAAAGTTGCTCCAAGTAAACTTATTTGATATACCTAGCTCCCTATGACTCTGTTTTTCGAGTCCTCTTAGGACTCGAAAAACAGGTTTTCCGAGTCCTCTTAGGAGATAAATGAGATGAAGAGATGTTTTAATGAAAGTGTTAAATTTGTATACTTTAAATACGTCTAACAGTTAATAAATATTTTTAAATCTATGGAATAATTATTTAAATAATTATTTAAGTTTAAAATCTAAAACTTAAAGTATTTTTGTTCAATTTTATCGACAACTTTGCTGAATAATTTTATTAAAATGTTAGTTTAAAAGATTTAAACTTTTTTTTAATTTTTGAATTTTTTCTACTTGTAAATAATTTTTTATAATTCAAACTTTTATTACAACTGCGTGCGGTTTTTAAAATACTTTATTAAATGTTAAAATAATCGTAAATTACTTCATTAAAATTCCGCTCAAAAATATCTTTAAATATACTCAAACAAAAATTTTTTTGCTCGACGCAAATAGCCCTAGCTACACGCAAAATCGCTCTTGGACGACGTAAAATTCACATCGCCCGACGCTTTATCGCAAGGCCTGCTACTATGTAATCCAACAATTTTTATTATAATTGTTTTATTGTTATATGTATCATTTTCATTTTATAGACCAAAATACTGATTTGCTATTTAAAATGCAATTTGATATTTTTTATGCATAGCATGAATATATTAACATTTCCTAAGGTATGAGCTATGGCCTAAATGCAAAAAAATGCTTAAAAAAATGCAAAGCCTGACCTGAAGGAGACTTGGTCAAAGAACTACCAGTTAGTAAAACATACAAAAAATATGTCACTGTTAATAAATCTTTTTTTTTACTCTTGAAACCTTTTTAAATACATTTACTTTCAAACTTAAGTATAAAATAATCGTTTAAACCCTGTTTTTTTACATTTTACCATCAAATAACATCGAATTTCATTTAAGGGCATGTTCATTGATTTTCTCCACTAAACATTTATAATTATATAGCTCAATATACTCTTTTAATAAAATACTATTTTTAAAAATGAAATATCAAAATTCATAGTTTTTAAACTAATTGCATTTAAGAGTTAGGATGGTAAAATATATATATATATATATATATATATATATATATATATATATATATATATATATATATATATATATATATATATATATATATATATGTATGTATATATATATAAATATATATATATATATATATATATATATATATATATATATATATATATATATATATATATATATATATATGTATATATATATATATATATACATATATATATACATATATATATATATATATATATATATATATATATATATATATATATATATATATATATATATATATATATATATATATATATATATATATATATATATATATATATATATATATAACTAAGTTTTGCCTTTCTCCTGCCTAATTTCTAATAACCCAAGTTATGCAAG